GTTATAGATCTACTCTTTAAATGTTCTTCATTATTCTTTTTTATTTTATAGCAAGTTAGCAAATAACATATATTTTTAGTGTGAATTTTTTTGCTATATCCTTCTCTTAAGTTAAAGTGCCTAATAGTACCTTTACTGCTTTTAATGGACCGTTCATACTCAAAATATAAATGAATCTTTAATTTACTCTTGACTCATTACAAACAGGGATTTTTAACTTTTTCCCTCTGATTTAGTAGCAAATATGAGTCATAATAAACTCACTAGGCTTATTCGAATTTGTGTTACTAAGATAGCTACTAAAACCTATAAAATATATTTGTTTATCTCGGATGTCTTTTCTGAATAAAACAAAACAATAAAAAAACTACGCAGTAAATTTACTTTAAAATTGGAGTTTCAAACACTGCACTTCTTGGTTTAATAACACTAAAAAAAAAGTATATTTAATAAGTATTTACAATTTTGTTGCTTTCGATAATACGATAAAATATAAACTCAAATAAATCGAAAATTGTTAAAAGTTTTTAAAAAAATATCAATTTTTTTAAAAAAGTTATTGAACATACTTAAGTTTAAGTGACAAAAGAAAGAAATATTAAGCTTGCAGTCACAGTTTACAAAATTTATGAAAATATCGAAATAGGCTTTATAGCATGTTTATAGTAAACCACTTTTTGACAGAAGGATGCCCCACATAAAGTGTTTTTAGACATCAATTATCGGAAACAAGAAAAACTACTTTATAAATGTACCGCAAGTTAAAACTCCAAAGGAAAAGAATCAAATTTTAACTAGAATTGTTATCAAACAAGACATGTACCTCAACAAGTGTATAATAATAGTGTCAAACTCAGGGTGTTATTCATTTTTATAATAATATCACAATGATGTTAAGTATGTGTTTTAGACTAATTAGACTACATTTTATGAGGTTAGTCTTAATAATAAATCATAAGGAATTTCTACAAAATAAAAACCAGGATCAGGTATAGGCTGAGTATCTTAATTGCATAAGTTAAAAGAAAATGGATTTACTAATTATTATCAATACAGATAAAAAAAAAATATATTGATATTCTAGATAATAAATAGTTTTATTCAAATTTTTTTGTTGTGGTAATAAAAAATACTTTTTTTCCAACGGACAATTTAACATGGAGTGACATTGGATTTAAAAGATTTCCATAATGTCAATTTACAATTTGAAAATGATATTGTAAATGATTTAAAACAAATTATCACAACAGGTAGACTTATTAAATATATTAATAATACACATTCAACTTAAATGGTAGTCTCATCATCAACATTTTCATTAAAAATATTAATCATAAAATAATTATATTATAATGAAATTATATTATAATAATTACAAATAATCATCATAAATGAAGCCTTTTATTTTACAACAGATTTCTTGAACATGAAGTTTCGACCACATTACTTTTTGCAGAAGCTTTTCTTATATAGCTATTCTAAAAATTATATAAATATACAAACCTAAAAGTTACTTTAGGATTGGCACATGAGAAAGAAATTCTTCACTTTTTGATTAAGAATTACTGTAAAACAATAAAGTTTCGTCAATTAGGACTACATTTAAATTCATATACAATTCTATGTATTTGTACACAATGTATTTCAGTTATAGACAATTTCAAATTTACACAATGTATTTCATAAAGATGAAACATATATTAATGAGTTTAATATTTTAAAAAGTCAGGTGTAAAAGTCATTATTAAAAAATGTTTGTCATGAAAGTAGCATTTTATTTTGAATAGATTTATTGAAAATAAAGTTTTAACAACAATTATAGCTAAGGATCAGTATAATAACTAAAGCTTGAACTATAACAGCTGTAAATCAAGTAATATACTAGAGCCCTACTTTAATATTGATACATCAGAAATATAATATGTACTTTTTAACTCAGAACCACTTTAAAATAAAAAAAGTTTATACAAATAGAAATACATTTAACGCATTACCAATCTTCAATGACAAGTTAAGCATACCGTAAAAGAATTAGCTCCCATTAATGTAGTCTTTTATTTTTCAACAGATTTGTTAAAAATAGAACTTCAAGAAAATTAGTTATTATGGCTCATCTTAGTTACTAACCTTATAAATATAACAGCAGCAATTCAAGTACAGTACTAAAACTCTGCTTTAGAAATGACACTTTCGAACAAAATTCTGCACTTTGTGATTCGGAACGACTAAAAACCAAACATACATCAATGCTTTAAACATATGTTATAAAACATACATCAATGCTTTTAAAATCTTAATTAACAAGCTGAACTATAATATCTGACTATAACAAACTTATTTAACCCATTGAGGTCCTTAAAAAAAAAAATTTTGCCTATAAGGTTCAATTCTTTTTTTCTTATTGACCTTGAATATAACAGAAAAAGTATATTTGACCTGTGGCTTCTCTTAATTTTTCACAAAAAATTGGTTTTGAGTGTAGCACCAAATTTTTTAATTTTTATTCTTGTTTAAAACATTATGACCTAAGTGCAAGCACTAAACAAGAAAAAAAAAAAAAGATATGCAAACGATTGTTTTTATTTACAGGTATACGTACCGCAAAAACAACCGTACCGCAAAAACTACAATGTTGGCTTAAGTGATCTACCATGTAAAAAAAAATTCAGGATTCAAAAAACTTGATATATTATGATAGCTAATATGTCAGCATATAAATTAAAGCAGTTTTAGTGTTTTTTTTAATTGTTAAATATGTTGGTATCTGCAATAGAGTAAAAATTTCAATTATAAAAACGTGTAGTTTTTTTTGTTTTGTGGAGCCTAGAAGCCGTATCAGAGAATAAGTTAGCAAAATATAGTTTTTCTATTACCTATGGATTATAACTAGATACTGAAAAAAGTTTTTTTTCTCAAGTAGTAATAAATCTTTATCACACCCTCATAAAGAAAAGGAGTATTATTGTTGTTTTTGGGGTACATTTTATAGAATTCACTTTACAGACCATGTTTTGAAATAAAAAACAACAACAATAAATTGCCATTGTATTAGATTTTTTTAAAAGAAAATAATATACAGTTATCTTAAAAACAATATTTGAACGCAGCAGTAACAACACATCTAAAATAGCTGCAAACTTTATAACATTATTATAACAATAGGTAACTGCAACAATGTTAAGATAACATAGATAAATAAAATGTTAAGATAACATAGATAAATAAAATACTTTAATTCAAAAAAAGATTACTGATTGTCGTTGCATTCGTTATAATGGTCGTATATCAGTCTTTTAGATGTGGAGAAGTGCTGGTTTGCTCGTAAAAGCATAACCGGTTTAATACCAGCAACTCTGCAACTCATTTTGCTGCAAATTAAACGGAGAACATCAAGACAATTAGGACATTGCTTTAGGCCAAAAGCTTGACATTTCCTTTGTTTGCAAAAACATTCAACTTTATATTTAATAAACTTTTCTTTAGCTTCCTCTTTCTTTTTTTTGGCTTCCTCCTTTGCTGTTATCTTTCGTCGTTTCTCTTCTTTTTTATCTTTCACTTTTGCTGCAACATCTTTTGCACGCATCGAACCATAGACCTGAGTAACTCGAGTAGATATTTTTTTAAGGTTTGGTTTAATTTTCCTAATAGTTAGCAAATCAGGAATATTTTCTAATTGGAGGCTTTGCTCAGCCATTTCTCTAATCAAGATTTGAGACTGGTCAAACTTATCTTTCCAGTAACTTGCCGACCCTTTCCTTATACTAACTGGTAACGAAATGGTTGATTCAGGTTTTTTAAAAGAAGTTGACGCTGGTTCTTCTTTATGAATTTATGCAGCAGCTCGCTCAAATTTATCTTGTTGCATAAAGTTTTAATTTAATTCAAAAGGTGTTATTCCAACTCTTTTTGCACAAGAAACAAGAACCGATTTCGATGTCCATTTCTCCCATATATTGCCTAAAATGGTCATAAATCCCTCTCGATTAATTGATTGCATTGGGTTGAAAAGATAATTCTTGGTAATTCTGTACTCATGATGAAGATTTTTATTAACCTGGTCAAGCAACTGAGTTACACCAGTAGTGTCGGGAGGAGAAATAAATAACCAAATTTGTTTTGAAAGGAGGTATATTAAACCGTCATAACTGAATCGTGAACTATGTCCATCAGATAATACAACAACAGGTCGTTCTATTGCCTTCTCAGTAAGGTAATCATCAAACTCTTGGCAAGCCGTCTTAAAAGTGTCATTATCTGAAATCCCAATTTCAGATGTTGTAACAAAGAGGTGACTGATTATTTGTACTGCTACTTGTGGTGCCATCTGGCTTGTTATTCCAACCGAGGAAAAAATGACTTGACATATACAAACATCACCTGAAAAAGACACAAAAGGGTGAATTGAAACACATTCCTGTTTTCTTTATGCATTTTTAAGCATTGTTCACCTTTCCCTGCATATACCAAGCCTGTTTAAGTACCATCAACACCATAGTTCACAAATTTCGGTGTCTCATCATCATTAAATATTCTTGTTGTTTCAATGTAACCCTTCCATACACCCTCGTCTAATTTTTCAGCATTTTTCATAATACCGGCTGCCTGAAGTTCCATTGCAAGATCATTCAAATGATTACAAGCCATTTCTCGGGTGCAGTTAAGTGCTCTGTTTATTATTATTCTGTTATTATATACTCTGTTATTATATACTCTGTTATTATACCCTGGCGTTTAATTGTTAGGCTTGAATGCTTTGCTCCATGCAAAGCATTCAAGCCTAACAAATAAATCGTGTCCTAAATGAACGACTAAGTCTAAAAAATGGTCTAAAATATTCTATAAAAATAACCCTAAACATTTGACTTGCACTTACAAATGATCAACATTTACTGCTATATATATATATAAAAAAGCAAGGCTACGAATATTACTATTGAGTAATTTTGATTATGTTTATTTCATTTTTTCTTTAGATCAAACATGAACAAAAAATCAACAAAAAATCATTAGACTTACTTCCCATTAACCAGAGCTGATTTTGCATTAGGAGACAACTTAATCAACTTCCGACCTCCTTTGCATCTTTTATTCATGTAGTCCCTTATCCTTAAAATATCAAGAAGGAGTTTGGTCAACTCTGTCTTGTTGATACCTTGCAGACTTTTATTCCTGTTCTTGACATACTTCACTACAGCCTCCTCCTCTTCAAGTGTAAAAATACTACAATAGCGACGTTCCTCGCCTAGGAAAAACCAAAGCTCTTTAGATATCTATCTAAATTAAATCATTATTCTGTAAAAAATTTATACATACCATTTTTTATTATTCGGTCTAATCTTCTATTAATCGTTTCTCTATCTTTTACTAGTGGAAACAAACCAGTCTTCAAGGTCTTATAGCCTCGCACGCTGTGGTCGATACAAAATTGTACTGCCTTTTCTAATTGTAAATTCTTTGCATCTGTGAACTTCCTCCCAATTGATGCCTCAGGCTTACTTTTTCCACGAATAGATTGTAATTTTTCCTGTCTGAGCTGAAATTTTCGCTTCATTTTCTATGTTAATTTTTTTCTAACTCTATTTGATTAAAAAAATTATTGTTAAACATTTTAGAGTACATTAGATGCTTACAGAACATATCTAAATACTAAAAAACAACTTTCAAGTAAAAATTTAGATTTTGCTCTAGGTTCAAACACAAAGTAAGTTTTAATAAATTCTTGCAACTATTATGTTCTAAAAATGATATTGATTTTTAATACGTAAAAAACACGATGCAAACTTTGTTTAAAGCACTGCAATGACATCTTTAGAATCAAGAGGTTACATAGAATCAATATAGTAAAAAGCGAGAATACATGTATAACCTTTAAAATGTTATTTTTAAAACATCAATGTTTTATTAAAACATCTTTTTTAAACAATTTTTAAAACATCAATATTTTTAAAACATCAATGTTGTTTTTGGGGTACCTATCTTGTGGTTTTTGTGGTGCATCAGGTATTTTCTCCAAGATTAAGTTAGCAGTAACTGGTTTTATTTAAAGCAGATCAAATAAAATTAGGACACGCCAAATTTCAGCTCCATAGGTTCACTAGCTGCAGAGATACAATCGATAAATTAAATGCGGTTTTTGGGGTACACATACAAAAAACAACAAAAGTTTAGTTAACATTAATAACAAAACTATTTCTTAAAAATTAATCAAACTAGCTGGGAAGAACTGATTTTAAGCAACTCTAAATACATTCAAAACAGTTTTTATCAAAAGCAAATAATAAAAAAGTTATTGAGATGTGCTTTTGGTGTTTTTGTGGTACGTATACCTGTACAAGTAAATTACAATATTGACTTTGGATATTTTATTTTACACGAAAATCAGTTTTTGTATGGTAAAGTTCAAAACAATCAGTAGGGTGTAGTCCTGGTTTTTCAGTGCAGGTTTTACAATAGTATACAGTTTTTCTTCTACCACCCTGGGTTTTCTGTCCCTGCAGGCTAAACAGTCTTTAGCATTATTACTTGGAACTTGTGCTATAAAATGTGGCTTTTGGTTTAGGCGCTCATTGTCATTCAATGATGATTGCCTTCCTCTTCGTTCTTGAATGCTACTACATACTCTTACTAATTGCTCAATGAGGTTTTGTCTATAGGTTATGTATCTCAGTTTGTTTTAACCATTGCCTTCACAAACTTCATTGAACAATATATAACTGTTTACAACTGCAACTTCTAGCAATCAGAAAAATATTTTTCTTCATTTTTAAGACTCGCGTAAAAATGAAAAACTGGAACAATAGTGATCAGTTCGGTCAACAGTTCTAACAGCTTCAAATCATTACTTTTACTTTTGCTTATAATAAAAGCTGGTCGTTGGGTTATAATTAATGTTGTCTTTTTTGCTGAAGCAACGCCATTTCTACTATGAGCACAATATTGATACATCATCAAATGACATATTTACAAAATGACACTAAGCATTGTACTTGCACTTTTCTCTTCGAGATCTTTCCCACTTGATTTTACATTTTTATTCATATAGAGTACATATAGTATCTAAAAAGAGTATTATCTAGATCTTTAAATTTTGTTTGCATCTATAAGTTTTATATATATTGCGATATTTATTACATATTATTACAAATTTGATTTTAATTAAGCACTTTAAAAACATTTATATTTTATGTTAATGGCTTAATGTCACTCTCATGGTTTGTATATTTGACTCAAAAGACGCAGAATTAGCTGCTATAGTTTCAACTTTAAGTTTAGTATTTGTATGGATGAAATTTACTACATATGTAAATATAATACATTTACCATCAACTTAATTTTTAAAAATTAACATCTTAGATATGTTTTAATATAATTAAATTAAGTTAAAACATCTGTTATAGTATGTAAACTTATGCTTATATAATTCTTTATAATAAAATATAATATTTCTAGGGGTTATATATACCCTTTTTATTCAAAAAATACAAAAAAACCGTTAAAAAACAAATAAACAAATATTAAAACTTCAATGTAATGTGTTCTTGCGTCTTAAATAAAAATAAGGTTTCCAAAACGACAACGTGACGTAATCACCGTCGTCTTCATTCAAACCACCTTCATTTGAAGAGCACTGGTGATACTGAATTTCAAGACTCTCTCACTTTTCTCTTAAAATAGTCCTCCTCTACCTTAACAGTATTGTTTTTATTCCGGCTAAAGGCACCATAGCAATTTCTGGAATGCCCCGCTACAGCTGAATTTTTCTATCTTCCTTCAAAAGCATGTCTTTGATGTTGGTAAATGCGATTTGAAACCCTGAGTTTTGTTTCACCTACATAGAGTTTTCTACACTAATACTCCAGTCTGTAGCCTCCTGGATAAGAGTTGTTGGGAAGTCGAGGCTTGTTTTTTTGAGTTAATAATTGCTAAAGCTTTTTTGGTGATCCAAAGACTGAAGTTTAGCCAGCATTTTTAAGTATCTTTTTTAATTGATTACTTAATTTTGGTCCCCATGGCAGAGAAATATAGTTAAGTTCTAGTTTTTTGATGTTATTGTTTTGTGGATTATTTTGCTTATTGTTTTTAATTTTTTTCACAATGTTTTGAAGTATTTTTTTTTTTTTATAATAATCTTATTTTGTTTTAACTTAATTAATTTACCATCAACAATTTATTTGCCAATCAAATAAAAGAACTAAATTAAAAGCTAATCAAGTTTTTTCAATATTTATTAAAAATCTTTTCAGAATAAAAGTTAAACCGTATTTAACAAAAGAATAGTGATTGCATAAATGTAATTGATAACAATTAAAAAAAAATACATAGGCTAAGATACACCTACATCAGATAGTTCAATAAAATATCATATGCGTACACCCACAAGTAAGTTAACTTGAACACTCACAAGAGAATTAACTAGATACTTTAACCTTTTTATAAGAAAATAGTTTCTTATATAGAAATGATTATTCTCCTTCTAAATTCAAGGAAAACTCTTAAACACTTCGGGAAAAAAGGAATAAAGAAAAAGTGTCAACAAGGCAAATTTATTCAGGTTTATCATGTTACAAAAAATATTTAAAATCTCACCTTAAAATTGATTTATATATATATGCATATATATATATATATATATATATATATATATATATATATATATATATATATATATATATATATATATATATATATATATATACAGTACTGTGAATATGTTTTAGACCACTTATATAATTAGCTGTATTTTCAATTTTTTTCCTGTGTATTTTTTTTTTTTTAAGCATACTTAAGTTGAGTAATATTTGAGAAAGGTTGAAAGAATATATTATCTTGAATAAATAAACAAAAATTTATGAGGAACATGAGTGATATGTTTGTTTATTTATTAAAACGATAATTGTCATAATAACTGCAGACCAAGCGTTCATCTAAATAATACATAAAAATAATATTTTCGATTTTTTTCTTACTGGTTCAGGTTCATATTCGTTCATTTAAGTTTTTAACAGTATAAAATGTAGTCATAGAGTGAATTTAATACAATAACGATCGGTTTTGGTACTTTTTTTAAAAAGTTATTATTTTTTATGAATACAGTTAAACAAATAGTTAAAAATAATTAAATAAAGTTATTAGTTAACATTTTTAGATTAATTAAGTGTTGCTATGGGTAAAATATCTTTGATATAGAGACAGAAAGTTATTGTGCTTCACGAAGAAGGTTATTCGCAGCGCCAAATTTTCTTCCAAAACAGGATATTCGAAGACTGCTATTAGAGAAATCATTAAAAAGTTTAGAGAAACTGGCTCCCTTGGAAATAGAAAGAAAAGTGGCAAACCTCCTAAGCTAACAAAAGATGACGATAAATATTTAAAAACCCTTTCTTTAAGAAACAGGAAAAAAACATCGACCGAATTGGCAAAGGACATTAATACAGCAACTGGGAAAAATGTTAGCTCTTCTTGTATTCGACGACACCTACTCAAATCAGGATTACGAGGCTGCGTTGCTATTCGAAAACCTTTATTACGGCGTGGCAATAAAGAAAAACGACTTAAATATGCAAAACAACACAAAGATTGGACCCAGGAAATGTTTAAGCGGGTTTTGTACACTGATGAGTCCAAATTTGAAATTTTTGGAACGAAAAGACGTCAATATGATCAAAGAAGAATAGGAGAAGCCTATCAGCCCGAGTGTTTAAACCCTACTTTTAAAGACGGAGGAGGCTCTTACAAGTTTGGGGCTGTTTATCTTCATCTGGGGTAGGTGATCTGATTAAAATAGAGGGACGACTCACTGGGGAACGTTATGTGGATATTCTAAGACATTCTAAGGTGGTATAGCATGCTATACCATCCGAAATGAGACTAATGGGCCATAATTTTATTCTGCAGCAGGACAATGACCCAAAACATTGTTCCCGAGTAAAAAAAAATTATTTAAATGAAATGGCAGAAAAAGGAATACTGGAAATGATGATCTGGCCTCTCCAGAGTCCAGATATGAATATAATCGAGCATATTTAAGATTACTTGGACAGGAAAAAGGTCAAACATGCTCCCCAATATGCTGAAGAATGTTTTCAAGTACTTCAAAGAGAATGGCACAACATACCGCAGGATTTTATAACGAATTTGTATGAATCTATTTCCCGGCGAATTTCGGCAGTAATTAAGGCTAAAGGAGGACATAGTAAATATTAAGGGTTTTTTTATGAAGTGTGACATTAAAAAGTTTGTTATTGTTCCATATTTTGTGTGAAATATGTTTTAATAATTTTATAATATAGAATTCGAAACTTAAATATTAAGGAAAAATCCTCTTTGATTTTTTGAGAAAATGTAAGTGGTCTAAAACATATTCACAGTACTGTATATATATATATATATATATATATATATATATATATATATATATATATATATATATATATATATATATATATATATATATATATATATATATATATATATATATATATATATATATATATATACATATATATATATTTATATATATATATATATATATATATATATATATATATATATATATATATATATATATATATATGTATATATATATATATATATATATATATATATATATATTTATATATATATATATATATATATCTATATGTATATATATATATATATATATATATATATATATATATATATATATATATATATATATATATATATATACATAAGTGAGGTTAATATTGCGGTGTAAAATAAAAAAATTCTTGATCGTATGACAGTGGTCAATATTATCAAATAATAGAGCATTTTATACTTTTTATGTAATTAAATGAATGAAAACAACTAAATAGCAGGACTTAAAGTTTTATGCCTGAAGGCAATCATCAGGCGTGAATACAAACAAAAAACGTCAAAAAACTGTTTTTTAAAAAACTTAAAATTAAAATCAAATGTCGTAGAACGGATTCAGACGTGATAAACAAAACAAAACAAGAAGCCGTTATAGTTTACTAGTCTTTTGTGTCAAATAAAGAGAGCAAGAATTTCTTTGAATGTCGACACTGATATACAATTCCATTATTTTTGTTTAGTAAATTTGTTTCACTATGTGATATTTTTCATAGAGACAGAGGTGGCATATTTTTATTGTAAGATTATAGGGGCTGCAACGTTTAATTACTCTCCACGTTATGATAGGTTTTATGTTTTGATCTTTCAAGCTCCATACTTCCTTTGAAAGTTCAGTGTCGTTTCTGTATTTAACTG